TTCCATCAAACTTTCCTGTTGTGACAATATTCTCTAATGCTTCTTTCCGCATTGTGTGTCCGAAGAAATTTGCCTGTCGTTTTCTTATATTCGTGATAATTTGTTTTCTATAATTTGCTTCAACTAGGACTTCTTCGTTTGTTTTTCTAGCTGTCCATGGGATACGTAGCATGCGTCTTATGAACCACAACTCTGTCGCTACAAATGTTCTTTCCAGCTGTTTATTGATTGTCCACACATTATACATTTCTTTTTTTTTTCTTTCTTCCTTTTTTTTTGTTCGGAGCGATCTTTGTAGTTGACCAGTAGCTGACCTTGAACTTGGTACCTGTTTTAATTTTAGTAAGCGTTTTACAGCACTTCCAACACAATAAGGTAATATAAGTGCCGAATTACGTGTTTTAAGTTGGAGTTTCCCATTTTTCTGTTTCATCCGAATTAACTTTTTGTGCTGGGCGCAGGGTTCTGAACGAGGAGACACCTACATGTTTGTACATGTGCTGTGTCGTCAAAACGACCTATACTCTATGCGTCGTTAGACGGTGAGTGTCAACAAATTCTTGCAATTTAGGGGGAGGTTGGAGGACACCACTGGTAGTAGTGGTAGATATAATATTCTACTTTTTTCTTTCTCTTTGGTAATTCTTGATTTCCCCTGACTCTAAAAAAGGCCATTGTTGAGCTTATGTGCTTCTCCTTATAAAAAGAGAAACCAAAGAAAATTAAGGACATCTTCATTTCGTATCATCCTTTCGTGTATTTCTTTGCAGCGTCACGGAGTCTGATACCTTGCAGTTTGCAGTGTCATTGGGAAAAATATTGCAGGTCGGCAAGGATAGGTACTGGTAAGATAAAGCCAAATTAGAGGGCGTTTGTGCCTTACGTCAAAGTCTTGAACACATCGTTTGGAGATCATAACTTTTAGACCTGCTTGTTGAAGGCTGTGACACAGGTTGTTGCAAAATGTGTGACTTCTTGTCAAAATTATGAAATAACATTTTGGCAGTTTTTTAATAGATTTTTGTGAAGGGGACCCCCCCCCCCCCCCAAAAAAAAATAAGGGGGGGGGGGGGGGAGAGAAAGGGGGATGATCAACACATTTCGTGGCCATTAATAAACACATTTCTCATTGGATTTTTTGGAAAATGTTTTGTCAAAGGCACCAAAAACATATTTTAAAACATTATTTAGAGTTTTCAAGGCAGGACACTAAAGCTTTGGGAGTCACCAAACTTTGGCGACCATTTTCTGGCTTATCTTACCTCTGAAACTACATTATCCTCGCCTTCTTCGTTTGCAGATATTTCAACTTTTGCTCAAGATAAATGAGTGTTTTTTACGTCAAAAGCAAGGCAAACTAGCTGCCCCCAAAATTGACGAGCGCCTAATTTCACCCTATCGTGACACATGGCCTTTGCGAAAAATGGTACCTTACAAGATGGGTCACTCTTCTTCTGAGACAAAAAGTGCTTGAAAAAGCCGGCGGCGGCATAAAATTGATAACGGTGCGCGTTTGACACTGTTTTAAGGAATGGAGCATCTTGTAAAAAGGAGCAGGAGCATAGTTTTCTCGAAATTTTCTTTCTGTGAAACGAAACAAATCTTTTCAGAACAGCCGGCTGCGACATCTATACGAACGCGTGGACTACTACCGATACTTTATCTTAAAAAGAGAGCCATCTTATATTATAGTGCTCTGTTGCATTTGATTATGGGTCGAATAGAGCGGCTCAAATCCAAAATATTTGACAGGAGTTTCAGTTGCTTTTATTTCAGATTTTCCCTCTCAATCCTTTGTTTTGTGAAAGGGATCATGTGCTTCACCATTGATATGGCCTGTTCACTGTTCGGTTCGTTTTGTCGTGTCGTAAAGCGATATACGCGAGCAAAGAAAAAGACAAAGACTTCTCTCAAATACAAAGTAAAAATATGAAAGCAGATCTCATACTTCAAGGTTTTCGAGTAGAAGGCCTATCATGTTAAGACATGGTTGCCTATTACAGCAAAAACAACCCGCCTGTTTAGAAAAGTGGTTTTTCTTGTCACCCAAGGAACCCCTGAAACAAGTGAATTGTGAAGGGAGATAGCATAACCTCCGGATAATTATGTATTGTAACAAGATTCAGATTAGTTTTGTTTCCGTGGCGCTAATTACGTCCCCTCGACCTCCTCCTCGGCCCCTGATCACCTTCTGTCTTCCTAACCTCATCCATTAAGACGATAGCCAATTAGGAGAAGGCGAGGAAATTAATAGGCCCTCGCTTTCAATTACTGTCAAAGAGATCGTGCTAGCGCGCCGGTGGGAGGGCTTTACAGCGATGGAATCGGTTAGGAACGCCGTCAGTGCTCGCCTCTTAGCACCGTATCAGCAAACAATTCGTTGAGGGCACCGCTTGTGGGCGGAGCCAGACGGATATAGGCAGGATAGAACGACGAGGAAACGATTAACAACGAGCTTCCGACAGTTGCTGGGAGGCGGCTCCCTCTCTCGCTTCCGCGCCTCTTTCTTTATTCGCTATTCTTCAAGCGGGTGAGAATTTTTTTCTACCCCTCCTCGGCCGTGATTTCTTTTCTTTCCACACTCTCTTCTCTCAATGTTGATGTTTCTCTCGCCTGGCCGGAACGGATGAGATGGGAGTAGGAGAGGCCAGTGATAGCTCCGGGTCACGAGAGGAAGACCTACCAGACACCAAGAGACGACGGGGTGCCGAGAAGACATTTGACTCACGCTACGTAATGTCCATAGGACTTGACGCGGAACCACAAGACAAGAACGGCAACTGCAGCAGCAGCAGCGCTATCATCAACAATAATAATAATAACAACAAGATCAACTACAACAACAACAGCAGCGACGACAGCGACGACGTTGAGAAAGTCGGCGACACATCCAGCGGTTCACAGATGGTTTTCGTGGCAAGGGATAGACATAAGACTATTGGAAGTGTAGGTCGTAATAATATACAAAGTTCTAACAATGACAATAACGACAATGGAAGTGCTTCTATTCGAATCGGGCCGAAACACAAGCGACAACAAGAAAAACTACAAACCTCTCAGACGGCTCAACAACAGCAGCAAGTAACACTAACAGTATCTGAGTATCATAATACCACTGATACTTCATCACCGTCAACTCAGGATTCTATCGAGTGTTCTGAACAACCATTTTCACTGACACTTTCTCATGTCAACGACAAAGCACCAATGTTGACTACATCATCAAACGTGATTTCAAATTCTTCCGTGCCATCCCTTCCGCCTTTGAGTGATAAACTAAGGTTGGGATACGCAATGAATTCTAAGTCGGACAATGAAAGAAATGCGCTTCCTCACCGCAGAGACACCAACAACACTGATCCCTCTCTCAGGTCAGAAGGAGTTCGCATAAAGCCAGACTTTTGTAATTTCACCAGCGGACTTTTCTCATCTAAAGACGGTTGTGTGACTACCTCAGCTGACCCGGCTACAAGCTCAGCTCTGAATTTTTACCACAAGACGTTGAGCTTAGCATCTCGCCTCGCTGTATCTCAGAGTTCGGTGACCCCCTCTCCTGGGGACAGCAGAGGAGGTTTGAACAGAATGCGGCTGGGCAGTGCGGGCGGCCGCTCTTTTACTCTGTCTCCTGGTAGCCCTGAGGTCCGGAGTCCTGGAGTGCAGGATGCTGGAAGTCCTGGCGTGGACGTGTACCACAGCCCGACTCCCAGACCCGGGGACAGAGTGGACGACAGAGGTGAGACAACCACCAACCACAAACTTTCACCCTACACGGGCCTTCCTTCTACACCGCCGTCATCTCCGCCATTGTTGTCTTCCTCACCTTCAACGTCACAACAACAGCAACAACAACAACATCATATACCACCATCTCAGTCATCTTCGGTCCTCAACAAAGGACAAGAAATTCCCAACGCCATACCAAACAACGGTAAAAGAAAACTCTCGTTGGACAAAGACGAGCAAAGTGAGGAGCTCGACGTATCATCCCACGGCGACTCCCCGCCAAAAATGAGACCCCCAGTGACAAGATCCTCATCTCCTCACGAAGGCTGTGTTACTAAATCAGGGACTCCCTCCGACTCTGTGGAGCAGGAAAGCACCAGTCAAAGTCAAAGAAGTCAACCATCCTCCCTGTCCCCATCGAGTATCTCCTCCACATCATCGACTCCAAAGACCTCACACAAACCCACTGCTTTCAGCGTGGCAGACATCCTGGACCCGTCTAAGTTCACTGGCAACGGCGGGGGTTCGAGACCCCCCGTGTGGAGCCCGTGGCAGAGCCAGCATTCTCCGGGGCCCGGAGGTCCTCTGGCGGCACGCGCTGATGGCACGAGGTCACCCGGAGTAGCCGCGGACGCCAGGCAAGGTCAGTCTTACTCTTTGTTTCCACTTCATTGACTACTTATCTTGTCAGAAAAAACAGTGGGTGGTTGAAAGGCACCACTGGTAGGTTGGTTCTATCTTTTCTAGCACTCTGTTATTTCTGTCTATCTGTATTACTTTTTCCTAGGACGAAATTACTATTTTTTTTCGTCGCTGTGCTTCTGTTCACTAAAAAAACCCAACCTAAACAAAACAACAAAAGCAAAAACAAAAAGAAAAACTAGATAAAACATACGAATCAATGAATTATGGAATAAAATTAATGATGAAACTAATATAGATATAAAAATAAGTAATGAATCAACCGATCAACAACTGAAAGATCAATTTCGGGAACCATCTTCTATAAAGTAGCTCTTAATTTCAACTGTAGAGGTTAAATGCACAGTGTGAAAATACCAAGACGTAAACTCAAACTGTAACCACAAATGTATAAAGAAAGGTAAGTGATGTGTGTGGGTGACTTGCGGTCCGTTAGTACATAGTTGCATTGATGAAGAAGAGTCACTGAGGCATTACATATCTCTTTGTCAGTTTTTCAATCTGAACTAGTAGCCCTTGACACTTCAATAAACCATACTGTCCTCTACATAAATAATAGGTGGTATAATATTATTATTTCAGAAAGCATTATACTGAACATCAGTATAATATTATATGTTTACAGAACAAATAATGCATAAATGATTCAATACTATTTAAAAAAAAAAATTGTTGTGCCAATCTTAAAAATGTAATGACAACTTTGAAGTTGAAATCTGAGTGATGGGGGTTACTAAAGATAACCTCTAAGATTATTAGAGAAAATAAACACACGAAAGAGAAAAGAAAAGAAAGAAAAAGAAAAGAAAAAACAAACAAAAACAAACCATCAAGTATAGTTCTTCATGCCTATGAATTTACTCAATTCACAGAACTATGTCTAATGAACCATAAGAACTGGTAAAGTTTTTTTCTTTTCAAGCTTTTGAAAATATTACTCAAGGAAGATCAAAATATTTTTCTATAAAGATTAACATTATGTGGTCAAGTTCGTTGTAAACCATAGACTTTCCCGACGATTCAAGAGAGCATTCTAGCAACGTTTCACTTAGATCAAGTTTTGGTTGGATAAACCCCTTTTTGATTCTATATTCTCTTTGATGTTGTCGTCCTCCTGTTCGTGGTGCTTGCAATAATTAATCTGCATGACTTTCAAATTTTACATAATTCACTGAAAAACCAGAACTGTTCGTAACTATGTTATTTACACCTTGGCTTTTACTCACTTTGAAAATTAACGATATGAACAAATAGAAAAGTTAATTGATCTAGCATAAATCACATAAGAGATAAAAACATTTCGTGCTTTGAAGAACACAGGTCTGTGTTCCGGTACATGATACAACAGCTCGGATGTCTGTCCAGGTATCATTTTTGAGAAGGTGTGTTAATTTATTTTCTGTTTACTGTAGAGTAAAACTTGATAAAGGAAATTATTTTTGTTTCGTTTTTCATTTGTCAAAAACTACTAACAACCAACCTCCCCCCCAGCTCCAAACAAAAACACCCCCCACAAAAAAAACAACAACCCACCCCCCAAAAAAAACCCCCAACAACAAACAACCACACACACAAAAAATGGAAAACAACCAGCCAAACAAAAACACACACACAAAAAAAATCTCAATAATAACAACAGACAAACTAACAAATAAACATACAACCAGGCTCCCAAAACAAACAAACAATACACCTATTCTCAAAAAACAACAAAAAACCACGCTTTTAAACAAAAGTCAGACGTAAGGGTGGGAAAAGAGCCCACTACACCAAATTGTACATTACCGGATGTTATACGCAGTACAAAAAAGCAAATAAATGTTCAGAAAGAAAATCATATTATTATGTTCTGATATTATCAACGTAGAAGAAATATTCAAACGAATCTCCATCACATTTTCACCCCATTAAAAAAGCTGCATTTCTAAAGACATATTCTATTGTAATACGTGTATTATTATTATTATCATCATCATCATTTATAACTATTATTATCTTAATGTGTCCTTGTCTATGTCGTTTTATTGTCGTTGTTGTTGTTGTTATGTTGTTGTCATCAATAAACAAACTATATAACGGTGACTACATCGTTCGACCTTGGGTGGAGCGTGTACACACCCTTAAAATAGCACCGGCCTTGATTACTCAGTGAAGAGAAGAAAACAAAATCTCTATGATCATGATCTCTGTTACTAAATCAGTCTGCGACAGATCACACAGTCTGACGCCAGCAGGAAGAAAGAACTGCAAAATCATGGTGCGGTGGCTCGTGGCTCATGGGTGACGTCACCACAGCACAACTGGTGTGGAACGGAGGGTAGGCTACGGGGGTTTATTTCTCTGTCGCCGTGGTTTTATGCACCCGCATAATTTAGCAAAATTTGATCATTTTTTGCGTCATTTCTGATTATTTTCCTTTATCAGTCGTTGTTAAAATTAACAGAATCACGTCTAAATTTCACATTTTTGGGCTCAGTTTGCATAATTTCATAATTTTTCTTCCATAAAACGACGGGGACAGATTTCTATGTTCTGAATTAAGAACGATGTGCGAGTTCCAACTAAATGTTGCTCAATACAAGTAATGTATGTTGAATGTAAGCTGCTATTCGTGATAGAATTTGTTCAGTTGATGACTGTTAGGCCGATCAATTTCGATTGATCGAACTAGATCTAGCAGACTAGCAGGGGTAGTGTGTATGAATTGTATTACTTAGTAATCTCATTTAATTATTTGAGATTACTCTCAGGATTAAACTGATGATGATGATGATGATGATGATGATGATGATGATGATGATGATGATGATG